GTTTTAAGGCTACAATGTTTATTCTGACCTGTACATATTTGTCGACATTTGGCGACTTGTCATTTCACATACATTGTATACATTCTATCGAGTTAAATTAGCTTTGAGACTTTTTTATTATTTTTGTAAACAGTATTTTATATAAACCATCAAAATAAATCCCCTAAGATGGGTGAGTCACGTGATGTGGATGGATGAAAGTGATCCTGCTGGAATACAAGTGCAAAATACAACATGTACAAGAAATGGAAGCAAATTATCTATAATCAAAAACTAAGCTTGGACATTAGAATTAGCGTTATTAAATGCTACGTTTGGTCAATCATTCTACATGGAGTAAAAGCCTGGACATTTAAATTAAATACCATGAGGCTAGAAACCTTTGGAATTTGTCTTTATCGCAGAATGCTTAGAATATCGTGGACACAACACATTACGAATCGAACAGTATTAAACACTTTAAATAGAATTTATAACAACGATTAAGAAAATCAAGACCTGGTTCCTAGGCCACATAATGAGAAATAACAAATATAATTAAATAAAAAAAGGAGAAGAATTTTACAAACATTTTTAAAAACTATATTTTTAGTAAAAACCCTATGTCTTCCTTGGATTAATGTTCCTTGCAATGGTGTATCCACAACTTTGACGCTTACGTTTGTCTTTTTTCTCACTTTGAGAAAACATAACTAACATAATACTTTAAATTATTTTGCTAAATACATCTTACCTTTAATTTAGAGCAACTAAAATTTGTACCAATTTTGCGAAAAAAATAATAATAAATATTAAAAAAATATAAATAAATTAATATGTATTAATATATGTAATTAAATTTGTTAGTATTTTTAATTTAACCTATCATTTTCCAGAACAAAATATGAATAAAATGTTAGATGTGAGTAGTTCAGCTTTTCTTTCCTAGGTGGCGCTAGGTTTTAAATCTAAAATAACGTAAATCTTTAAATTGTTTTATAATAACTTCTACCTTAAAAATATTATTTAAATTAATTATTAATTATATTATTATATAAATAATAGAGTATTATTTCTTAAACGTATCGTTTATAAGAACAAAATATGATTGAAATATGGTGCTCTACAGTGTAGGTAAAAGTTTATGGTCGGTATGTACCCTACGTGAGATGAAGTGAGAAACACCTATTTAAAAAGAGACAGGTATATTAGGTCCGCCCTTTATATCGTCGAAATAGCATTAGTGGAACTAAGAAAAGAGGAGAAGTTCAACGTTGCCAAACTTATTGGTTTTATTTGACCTGTTGTCTTTTTAGCATTTTAACAACGTTCTAAGATAATCAAATTTGGACGAGTTGATTTAACTAGCAGCATACTGTTTGTTATTTTAAATATGCACAATTTTCCTTTACAATAAGTTTAATTTAACATTTTCATTTCCATTTCGGAAATCGTTTTATGTAAATAAAATTTATTAATGTTTTGTATTTTAAGTACGATTTCCGAATTGGAAAACTAAACATCAAAATAAGCTTATTTTAAAGTCACATGGTGCCTTATTCCCAATAAAAATAATAAATTACAATATGACACCACAATAAAAAAGCTTCTGACAAAATTATTTGGCCACGTCGAGTTCTTAAAGTAAGGACACTGAACTACGAACTGCGTTCGTAGTTCTCTGACTGTAGTAACGAGAAAAACAGTAGAGGTGAGTCGTTGACGTTTTTATCGTTAATGAAACTGAAACGCTTTTCGTAAACAAGTAACAAGTTGAAAAACTAATTAAAGTATTTAAACAAGTACATAAACAGACATGCTTTTTTGAAACAAACAAAAATATACTGAAATACTTTCAACGGCTTTTCAAATTTGCTGTAGTTGATTTATAACTAAGTTTTTCTTTACAAAATTTGTATACAGCCTTCTCACTGTTAATGTCTTTCTCAAAGTGATGGCATAAAATACCAACATCCTTACGCGCAGACATGTTAAACACACAATTAGTTAATAAAGTAAATATTTACTCCTGTGTACTAATATTTCAAATATTAGTACACAGGATTACATATTAGTCACAAAAAAATAATCGATCATTGCAAAATTCAGAAAGTCGAGCATAAAAGCTGCATCTTCTATAAATGATTTTAACTAAGAAAAAGACTTCTTAATTGAATATTTACAATAAATAAATCCTTTAACGAACTATTAATAAAGAAAGAAGTCATCAAATACAGTCAGTAGGTCAGTATTAAAGCATTAGGAGAGAGCAGGTGTATTGTATTAAATTTAAACTGAACGAAAAATTGCTTCTTTTAATTAAATATAAGATATTATTAAATAATTTTGGTATTTTCCAAATAATATTTAAAACTATATTTTCGTTTAGATTTTTTGGAGGTATTAAGTGTGAAAATAAGAATCAGTTCTATAAAAATGAAACAAAAAAAGATAAAATTAGTATAGAATTTGTTCTATAAAAATGAAATCAAATAAAAAATAATTCCAACACTACTGTTTAAATTAAAAATAACTCCAAACAATTAGAAATTCTAAACCAAATTCTTGGCTAATTAAATGTTCAAACAGACCACCAAATTGTAACAAACAGCAACCAAATCTATTATTCAAAACATTCCTCATGGCGTTGAGTTCATCTGCCGATATGTTTTGGCTAAGTTGGATTATCTTAGTTGGTGGCTCGCTCGAACTCATGCCTGTACAATTTTGTTTTTAGCATCCCCCAAAAATAAAAATTTAGAGGAGCTAACTCAGGTGACCGAGGGGGCCCTTTTATTGTACCGACTGCACTAATGACACGTTCAGCAAAAATTCAAGATAGTCTCCAACGACTTTTGCATTATGTGCAGGACAGCCGTCTTGTTGAAACCAAATTTCGTTGAAGTTAATTTGAAGACGTTGAAGTGCAGGAATAATTTGATTTTGCAGTAATTGGAAATATTTAACTGCGTTTAAATTGCCTTCAATGAAAAAAGGACCAATAATATGGTCTTCCAAAATTCCAGTCCAACCATTCAATTTTGTGGATACTGACCAATAACATACAGCGGATGAATTATGTTTCTTGTGAATTGTGAAGGAGGACTCATCTGTAAACAAAATCTTTTTTTTTAATTATTATTTGCATGGCGTCTCTCCATCATAATTTCAAAAATTGCATCCGTTCAAAATTTATCATCAGGAAATATTTCTTGAGTTGTCTGTACCAACGGTAGTTGTTTCTTTTCAAAATATTCCTCACTGTTTTTGCATTAAAATCAACTTCATCGGCAATCTGTTATCTGAACACGGCGTCGCTTCAGCCAATGCACAAACTTGAATTTCTCTAATTTCTCGTTCTTGAGAAATTTTCTTTTCGCGAATTTTATCTGATGAGCAACATTTTTTACATCTGCCATTAGTACAACCAAACTTTTCAAATTGATGAATAATGGCTAATACAGTTTTTTCTATAGATATTGGAATATTTTCAAAAGCCATAATAAATATTATTATTATTATTATTACTTATTTGTACATCATTATTATTTGTACCCGTTCTTCTGTTCATACTTACAAAGTTATCTCAAAAAAAAATATAGCTGTCGGCCTCTCTCGTCTCGACGAATGGCAATGTTGCCAAAATTATCTTATATTATTCAAAATTGGGTTACAATTTCGTCAAATAAAAATGCGAATCTGTAAATTTTTCATGGATTTTAGAAATTTTGGATCAGTATTTGTGTCAATTAATGTTTCATTTCTAATATCGTCAAGTTTTGAATGGCAATATAACCGCACCACTGATCGCCATTTTTTTAATCAAATCAATGTTTTAATTCAAATGTGTAATAAGGCAACCCTGCCGCTGTTTCTTACGTATGCTAAGCTGGATTGGAAATTCGTAAGACGTTCATTAATAGCCATGTCTAAAAAATGTGCTGGGGAGACCAAAGGGAAATATATTTGTTTTCTTTTTCTATTCGCTGAAAATATAATTTTATATCTGTGTTAGATATCCTGTTAAATTCTACCATACCGACCATAAACTTTTATCTATACTGTATATGTGAACAGGCATGTCAACAAAAATCTTCAGTGAATGTGTGGGTGGTATATTTGAAGATTATTTAACCTACTTAAATTTCTGGATATTATCCCAGTAGAAGTTCGACAATCAATATGAATTATGCTCGATAAGGCATTGAGCAAGTTGCTGTATAACTTAGAATTTTTATAACAAACGATGTGAATAAAAATAATGGGTCTAGTTGAAACTCGAAATTTGCTGGCTTAATACCTATCTACTTGTTGTCTGCGAGACTAAACGAAATCGTTAATGTACGAAACCACTGTCGATACTTAGGATTCGCCAAAAATTTAACCTGCTACAGAACATATTCAGTTTAATTGTTCGGATTTCTTGTCAGAGAAATTTTTCATGAAACATTGGTGTAGAACTTGCTTGCAAATAAAAGGCCAACATTTATTTAATTTAAAAATTTATTATAATTTTTTTTTGTAATATTTTTTATTTGTATCAAATTGGAGTAACTGACTTTAAAATAACTGATTTTTATTAGTTTCTAATTATTTACACTTTATCATTAATCCTGATCTAATTAATAGTACATATTCAGGCAAATACTGCTCATCAATAGGTCTTGCTTAGTATATTAAACTTTTTGTTTATTGGCCGAGAATCGAACCATCACTTTACTAGACCTCTCTCAGTGAAGTGAAAGCGCTCCGTCTCCCTAGCTCGCTTGGCCTTCCAATCTATTCATAAACGTTTTTGATCTGTAATAATAAATTTTTAATTTCAATTTTAAATTTTTAACCGTCTATATATTACTAACCGCAAAACTTGTTTCACATTATATAGGACCTTAGAAATATTTCAGATTACTATAATAATACCCTGTAGATGATCTGATTTTATGTCTAAAGAAATTTTATGTCTATAGAAATAGTGTATCAATATGTAACAATTGTTAATTAATTGTTTTTTTTTATTTTAGGTAAAGTTTACAAAGGAGAACTAAAGACAAAGACTGGCAAAATATTTGTAGCAGTGAAATCCCTTAAAGAAAACGCAAGTGCTAAGACACAGGCTGATTTCCAGCGGGAAATTGAACTCATATCTGAACTTAAACATCCGAATATCATTTGTTTACTGGGTGTGGTGATGAAACAGGAACCAATGTGTATGCTTTTTGAATATATGTCTGAGGTAATAGTTTGTTCGTCATTTATATATTTACACTATGTATTTATTTTATTGGACAGTTCTTTTAAATAGAGGAAGATGATGTTAAATGCATAATAATTTAAAATCAGAATAACCATAATATGACAACTTGTGAACATATAAACAAAATCATGAAAGCTGAAAGAATTCATCTAATAATAGGTTCTTATTAGGATATACTATGTCACAAAATTGTTCTGCTATTATGGAATTAAAAGATTAACTAATGTGTTTAATAATATTTACCTAAAGCCGTACTTTTTCTTATTTGATTCCCATTAATCTTGTAACGTTTGTATTGAATATTTTTTATAGTAGCACAAAAACGAGATATGCAAGAAATTCGCCGATTATAGGGCTTTTTAATTTTGGGAAGTTTGTTATAATTATAGTTTAAAATAATACAGGCACGAATGGATTACTACCAACGGGACCGAGGTTTATAGATAAACAATAAAATTTTAGAATTCTTATCACTTTGTTTTTGTTTTGGGTCTCAATTTTTTTTCTTATTTTTTCTTTTTTCCTCGTTTTGTTTAACTTTTAATTTGCAACGTTACTAGTAGCACTTAATCTATTGAAGTGTTTCAAAAATTTCCTTTGTTTAGGTGTTCTCTATCAGGATACTTTTGAGCTCAAACTTTAAATACTAAAAAACAATTCTCGTAAACATTCCTCAATTTATACTACCATGTCAAATCTTTTGTGGATCACATACGCTTAATTTTTAGTAACAATTAAATTTAAAACGATTGCTTAGATAATTATATACGTGATCTGTTCCACCATGAGGATCAAGAACTCCGTGAGCAGACAGTTTCCGTGGTTTATGAAAGCAAAGGTCTATATATTGAAATCAATAGAAAAGCTATAGAAAAGGCAATAAAACAGCCAGATTTTATTAGCAGCATTTATTAAACAAATTTTGAAAATTCTTTTACGAATTCTGAGGATTACTCGCTATACTGGGATATACATGCTATAGAGGCGTTGCAAATTCCGAAAAAAACATGTAGGTCTGCTTTATAGACTTCCAAAAGACATTTGATCGCGTTCAGGCTGACCTTATTTGTATATATTTGAAATTAGCTGGATTAACAGCTGTGATATCAGGTTGTTAAATTAACTCTGCTATTAGTCTATTGATTATCTTTTTCTTCATCTTTATAAGCAATTCTGCTTGTTCATTGGCAAATTAATACCTCTACGGAAGGTTGTCACTTAATATTTTGCTCGGCCATCCGAAACTTGTTCTGTCGATTGGTGACTTATCTCTTGCTATTTTGACGACACGGGTTTCCTCCATTCTGCTTATGTGGTTATTCCATTCTTTTTTTTTCTATTTAGTGTCCATTCGTTTATACACTGTACGTTACATTTTCTTCTAATGTCTTCACTTCTCTTTCAATCTCTCAGCGTATTTCCTGTAATTCTTCTCAGTATTTTCATTTCTGCTGTTTCCCTTAGGCTTTGTGTTGTTGCTGTGTCTGATCTTGTTTCTGAGGCCATTGGTCTTACACTGGCTTTATAAATCATTGACTTCATCTCAGTGTTAATACTTCAATATATAGTGTTATTAAGGCATCCGGCATTTTGCCAATATATTCTTTTTTTTTTACTTTTTCTTTTAGGTTTTTGAGAAAGGAGTGAATTATTCCCTCCCCACTAGGGTGCATTTGGGTGAATTCTATGCAGTTTTCGTGCATATAGATCTACAGAAAAAGTTGTCCAAAATTAAATTTTCTATCGAAATGTCAGTTTCTAAAGTTAAAAATAATATTTTTTTAACAAAAATATATTCAAAAAACGAGTTAAAAAAACAGTAGCACACGCGCTTAATTTTTTCCACGGAGGTATAGACATAGGCATTGCTTTACAGAAAAAACGTTTTATCCTTTTCCTTCAAAATAACATTTAGTAGAAGTCTAGGATTCACAATATCCGAGATACGATTTTTTTATCCTATTTTTTCGCAAAAATTGTTATCTTTTCAGTAGTAATAGTGTTCTATAACTCAAGTCAAAAGAATATGTTATCAACGATGACTTTTATTCATAATTAACTCGAAGAATTGAGTCAAAAACTTTATTTTATGTAACCTATGGTCATAGCCGTGTATTTTTAAGGAGTTTTCACGATTCGAAATGAAGAAAATGTAAAATTCAGATCTAAAAATATTAATTTTTGACACAATTCCCTCCATAGCATACAATTACACTATTTTGTATATCACCATAATTCCGCGACATTTTTTTATAAGACCTAAAAAATTTAGGATTTTTATTTTATATTTTATTAAAACTGTTTTTAGGGAGATCTACATGAATTCTTAATAGCAAATTCTCCAGAAGAAGGAAAATGTTTGACACATAATCAATTTTTAGATGTAGCTATTCAAATTGCACAAGGTAATTGTTTTATATTTTATAAAATAAGATTTTCAAATTAATTTTAAGTTTAATGAAAGCATTAAATAATATAAAACTATTATATTTATTATAATAAAACATTTTTTTTTTACCTATCCTACATGGTTTTTAATAAAAATTTGTGTTATGAAATTATTGTCTTTTAATATACTATTTTGTATTCGAGTATCTAAAGTATAAAATTTTTATTTCAGGTATGGAATATCTCTCAGCGAATCATTACGTACATAGAGACTTAGCAGCTAGGAATTGCCTTGTATCCAAAGATTTAGTGGTTAAAATTAGTGATTTTGGATTAAGTAGAGATATGTACAGTTGTGATTATTATCGGTAAGCCATTATTTTTATATACATATAATATCTGTATTGAATCTTAAGTAATAGCAGTTTATCTTTAGAATATTTTTATATTTTAAGAATCCACAATAATAGTGAAATGTTATTACTGTCACAGTGTTTTTAAATTAAATTAATTCTTTAGGTTATTTATTTTTCATATGTTGTGCCTATATATGATACATTCATACACAGGACACATCCGTTGTCTTTCCGTGTAAGAGTTTGTATCTACCCGACTGCTGCTTTCACCGTTTATTTATTTATATATTCGGCATCTCAATTTATATAAGAGCTGCTAAAAAATACAAAATATCTTACAAAGTTGAACTAGAAATAAATAATGTTGTTAACTCACCAAATAAAATAGTTTTGTATATAAAAAAAGCTGCTGCTAAAACATATTACAAAAAATATTATTATAAAAATGTTCTATTCAAATAAATGTTTCTCTGAAATTTTAAATATAATTTTGAAAAAGTTTCTTAACAAAAACAATTGAATTTGTAAATAAAATTGAATAGTTACAAAAATAAGCCTCAATGTCATAAATACCAACTTAAAAATTTTTATTTTTGACAATTATATTGTCAAAAAATTTTATTTTTGACAAAATTAAATCAAAATGTGATATTTTACTTATTTCATATATAAACTACATAGCAATAATAGAATTATAAATTTTGCTTAGATTTTGAATTTCTGACCTTTTGTTTAAATTATTATCACTTTTGCTAATACAAACCATTTCCAAAAAAGTTCTTTTAAATTTATTACTTTTACTACATAAAATTTTAATATTATCAAAATCCATAATATGGTCATTGTCTTTTACATGCTCTACCAAAGCACAAGATGGTTTCTTAATTTTGCAATCACTGCAATCCAACCCATCCAAAACAGTTTTATATATTTTTCCAAACGAGTTACAAGTACTTCTTTTTTCTTACTTTGTTATATATATATATATATATATATATATATATATATATATATATATATATATATATATATATTGGCCTAAAAATGAACTTGACAAAAACAAAAACCATGTACAACGAGCTAGTGGATGTCCAAGATGTAATAATAAATAATACTGCACTGGAGACAGTAGACGAGTATATATACCTGGGACAATTAATACATAAATCTGGCTCATTACTCCCAGAAATCAATAGAAGAATGAAACTGGCTTGGGCAGCTTTTGGTAAAAATTCAGTTATATTCAAATCTAGGATGCCACTCCACCTGAAGAAAAAGGCATTCGATCAATGTATACTACCAGTCATGACATATGGCTGCGAAACTTGGACACTAAAGAAAGATATAATAGCTAAACTCAAAGTCACTCAAAGGTCAATGGAGCGATGCATGTTAGGTATAACCAAGAGAGATCGAAAAAGAATAGAATGGATCAGACAGAAAACGAAGGTCACTGATGTAATCCATCGAATAAAATCTTTAAAATGGCAGTGGGCGGGACATTTAGCAAGAAGAACTGACAATAGATGGTCCACTAGAATTACTCTGTGGTATCCAAGAGGCGTCAAGAGACCAAGAAGACGTCCAAATTTAAGATGGGACTATGACATAAGGAAACAAGCCGGTACAACATGGCACAGAAAAGCGAATATTAGACAGTCGTGGGCAGACATGAAGAACGACTATGTAAGGGAGGCTGCACCATAATTGGTAGAATACGCTGATAATGATGATGATGATGATATAATTAGGCGCCTCGCTCCTTCGGTATGGATCTATGGAGGAGTATTACCGAGCCGAAACCCGTTATCTCTTCTCATACTCCTCATCACAGGCCGATCACACTCCAGCATCTTCTAGTCTAAGTTAATTTTAGAGTTTTAAACTGCTGCGTTAGCCTTTTTTATTTTTCTGTACACCTAGCTAGGGTTCGAATGGAAACTTTTTCTCTCGTAGACCCCTTGTCATGATTTTCAACTTTAGATAGACTTCTTGCTATTATATTGGAAAGATTTAAATTTCTAACAATAGGGACACATTTTTACACATGTATAGGTATGAAGATGAAAAAAGAAATTAAAAATTTTCTCGCGATATTGCATATTACGGGATAAGAAACAGGTATGTCTTTTTGAAGCCAGAATTGTTGATATCCGTTTCTAAACTGTACCTTCAAGTTCTTCGTCAGTGCGTATTCCAATCAATTCCTCTTGTAACGTAACATCCGTTTCTTTAACGTCACCAAATAAATTGATAATCCTGTGCGGTATTACCGACGTGAAAATATCCTCAAATCTAGTTTCAAAATCTGAATAGATGGCATTTAAATGTTGGACATAGATTAAAACATCGTCTTCCTGGCAGATTACTTGGAACAAATTGAAAAACCGGGAAAATTCGTACCGTCCGATGTTTACTTTATCAGTTTAATTCTCATAATGCCTGTTTCTCTTGAATGAATTTTCTTTCAAATTTTTACTATCAAGAAAATCTAAAACAATTTTAAATAGTGTAAAAAATCTTTTTAGGCATAAGCCTTTCGACAGCCAGCGTACATTAGTGTGAATCTTTCGTAAGTAATCTTTCGTATGTAAGTAATTGGTGGAATCTTTCGTAAGTTGGCCAGGTAATATTTCATAATTCGCGCTGTATGATATCGCGATGCATTAGCATGAAGCCGTTGTCTATGTAGCAGGCGTAAGGAATAACATGGTCTTGGAGAGTATTCTTAATATAACGATCCGCTTTCAAGCTCCCTCCGCGACCACCACCGGACAGGAACACAAGTTCTGTTTTTCCTTCTAAAGATATACCACCCCAAAACATACACGAACCAACTTTATAACTTACTGTTTCGACACTGCAGCACTAAGCAAATCGTTTTATGGGCCTCCGATAGACGCGTCGTCGTCTGTCATTGTTATACAAGCACATTTGACCTTTATCAAAAAATAAAACTGCTCTATTACCCAAGGTCTCGAGCAAACTGAAGTCGAGCTTGTTTCTGATGTACGTTAAATTTTTTCCCTGTGTTAGCACGTCTGGGAGTCAAAGCGGCAGCCTTAAGTCTTCCTTCAACTGTCCACTGAGTGACAGTGAGAGCTCGTACATTCCTCAAGGATTATTGTAGCTCAACTCATGTCGCGTGCCGATTCAGAAAGGCACTCAGGACAATCATCATCATCCCTTCGGATCATCCCTTTTTGTCGTTATACGTCGCCCAACCGAACCTAGTCGTCGACTATAGCTACCGGTCTCCTGGTATCGGCGGTAAGCCCTTGAGACTGCAGACTGCGTCTTAAGTAGGCGACTGGCAACAGTCTTTTGACTATAGTCCTCTCGTAATAATGCAATTGCCTGAGCCACCTTTATTGGCGAAGTATCAATTTATAAAATATTCACTTACTGCACTTTGAAGTGTACACACACGTTAACGTTTGAAAAGCTACTGAGACGACCACCGGCATTCATAGAGGTCTACATTACGTAGAACATGCAAGTTACAATGTTTACTGCATTCCCTGTGCCACACACAGAAGTAGGCAAATTATCAAATATATAACAAATTTTGTCCATTTTTTCTTCAACTCTATAAATAGTAATAAAACTTCTTAAACATATTTGAATAAAAATATTCAAATGTATCCATTACGTGGAATGGATTAGAAAATTAATAAAGTAATTCAATCAGACGAAATACTGCCCTCGCTATACATTTTGTAAGGTATAATCCAAAGTTTAGTTTACGAAGAAGAGTAGCGTAGTCTGGGTTTTGCAAGAGCCACATACACAAAATATTCAGGCAAAACAAAATTCATCTATTCAAACCGAAATTCTTCAAGTAGTGAAGCAGTAGATTATTGATGTAATCGTCACCCGTTAGATTATTACGTAAACGTCACTGACACCCTATTTATTGCATTTCTGAAACTTAATTCAAAAATTTGTAGGGTATAAATAGTAACATAACATTGCCTATAAAAAAGGTTTTAAAAACATTTTATGTGGTTTTAGAACAAATAAAACTTTTTATCAAGCATTATGTTTTTAGCGAATAATAAAAAGTTTCTCCTCTTAGGCACTCTGATATTATGTAATTTTTTCTATTTCAGAGTGCAATCCAAATCTCTTTTACCTGTTAGGTGGATGCCACCTGATTCTATTTTATATGGAAAATTTACAACAGAAAGTGACGTATGGTCATATGGAGTAGTTTTGTGGGAAATCTACAGTTATGGATTACAGGTAATGTTCTAATTTACCCATTTTTTGATAATATAGTCTATAGATCTATAAACGAAATTATTGTATCAATTATTGAGTTTAGAATCTTTACTCCAACTCTTAAAAATCAGTGAACTATCATCTAAAAGTTGACATCTAAAAGTCTACATTCTTTACTATCTGCAATTAGCCTAAAAACTAAAGCAGTGAAGAATCCAAGACACATCCTTGCGATTATTTATGCTGTATAGTTGCTTAATACGTCAGTTTTTCTTATTTACTGAAGCTATTTGTTAAGTTAACTGACATCAAAATCAGTAAAGTGTTTTATCTACACAGTAATTTTCGAAATTTACAATATATCTTGCAATAAGTATAATATGTTAATTAATTTGTAATCATACGAACTCTATGAAGAATTCTTTGTATTGTTTCATTGGTATTAGTGGAAAATAATGTGATTATAAAACATATTAAATAATTTTCCGCATTTTCTCTATTTTTTGTTAATACCGACACTCTTTACTTTATACAACAGTTATAATAACATGTGTATAATTAGTTTTGTCCCGTTTGGTTTCCATCAAGTAGTAGGTATATTACATTTATTGTATTCAGACAATAATTGAATTTGATTATAATATCTTAATATCAATTAATTAAAGTGGTTAAATGTTATAGAAACTTATATTAGGCGAATCAGAGTTAATAGGTTATCTACAAGAGGATTTAATTAATTTTTTTAATGTGTAAATATATGACATTATTTATATATCAAATTAACGCTAATAT